TCAACAAAGAAAAATTTTTAAAATACAAAACAAAATTTTAAAATGTTAAATTAAAAATTTAAAAATTTTTGATTGTATTAACATCAAGTGTCATCCATCCACTACAAGTTTAAAAAATGTATTTGAACTTGAGTGGATGAATAAAAAGTATTTTATTAACGATTGAAAATTAATTAATTAATCATTAATTAAACAAAAAAATTAAAGCCAATTAGGAATTTTTAGAATTTCCAGTAGACGTTCAAAATTCGGCCTTCCAGGTTTCCATATCCGGGTGGAAGACTACGTTATTCAAAATGTGATGGCTTTAGTACCATTGCTTTTTCAAAATGTGAAAAAAATGCATAAAATCATGAAGATTCTTCATTATTTAATTTCTTCAAATATAAAACAGAGAGATAATATTTGGTGGCAGCAATTTAAAAGGTGATACGTCATTTATAGTGAAACGACGAAAATGCCGTTCCGAGCTAATAGTGCTTCTCTTTGGGCTAATAACTCAATCAACAGAAACACGCAAATATTGAAAAGTATATTTTATTCTTTAGTAGGTCTTTTTTGTGAACATGCTGATGAAGCAAAAGTTATAAGGTATTTCTCCCACTTTCCTAGCGTCCTTCGTGGTGTAGTGGTTATGCACGCTGGGCCGGTATTCCAGAGGTCTGTGGTTCGATTCCCCTGCGAAGGCGTTTGCTATTTTTTCATCTTTCCTTCTTCAAAAAAAGAATCCTAATGTTTCTACAAGGTGCCTTCATGAAATTACCCGAAGAGATGTCAAAAGGTAATTAATTTGATTAAAAAATACTGTATCTTAGAATTTATCCAGTTTCTCTCAATTTTTCTCTTCTTCTATTAATCAAAAAGTTCCTTGAACTTTATAAATTCCTGGAGCTTTTTTTTTTTTTCTATCCAGTATAGAATTCCGAACCAAAGAAGGAATTCAGGACTGTCCAGGTTATTCCGGATTGTAATCCTATCCACAAGTCGACTGAAAGCAGTTATAATAACTGCCACTATTATTTATTTTTATTAAAGATGCTGTTTTTTTTAAGCTTTTTCTATCTTTACTAGAGTTCTCTTTTTCGATTAAAATATAATACTTTCATTCAACCTTAAAATGTCCTCCTTTTTAAAAGTGCCCACCAGCGGCCGAACGGTAAAATCGCTAACATTGGTAATCGCTAACAATAGACTTACCGGAATTACAATTTTCATTACTGTAGTCATTCAATTATGTCATGTGATAGTCTGTTGGTTGTTAATAAGCGCTAATGTGGATTTCCTAGAATGCGGTGATGTAAAGGAAGAAATGCCCCAAGTTAATCCTGCAGGTCCGAGGTTCGAATCCCGCGAACGGGCGTTTTCGGGGTTTTCCCCATGTGTAATGTGTATACGAGCCAGTTTCCTTTAGAAAGTCCTCCACGAAAGCATCCCTCCTCTTAGGCAGATAGCCCTCGAAGCTTTGCCATAATCACACACACACACCTCCTTTTCGAAAAATGTTGATGCAGTATAAAAGTACTGTTTCGCTGTATGAGCATTTATTTCCACCAATAGCTTTTTGAAATTGCAGAAAATTTGAGAATTTTATTTTGCATTTCAGCTGCTCAGATGGGAAAGTGATTAGCGACTCTGGCTGCCGCACCGAAGGGTCCCGGTTCGAATCCTGCAGAAGGTATGGATTTAATTTGTCAGTCTCCTCATAACAGACAACAGAGGCCTACATATTAAGTGCTTCCATAATAAAGGACCACCACTTCCGGTCTTAGTAGTGGCCAATGTCTAAACTGCTAAAGGTTCGCTACTGGAAAGAAAAAAAGAAATGTTGTGTGAACTAGATGACTTCCTCGTACGGTTTATTCAGAAAGGATTTTGCGTTGAATCACTGTAAAAGGTTGAATCACTTTTCAAATTGTTGTCACCAAATATTATCACCCTGTATTATATTTAAAGAAATTAATCATGAAGAATGTGCATGAATGTTTCCACATCGTGAGGAAACGACGGTTCCTAGAGCCATCAAATTTTGAATAACGTAATCCTCCACCCGAACACGGGCACCTCGAAGCCCGAATTTTGAATTTCGAATTTGTTTTATTAGCTATTTCACATTTCGTAAAATTTTAACGAATTTTTGATTAACAAACTCAACGAATTCAAAGCGAGCAATGGTAACACAGTACAGGTGGGGGGATATATCTCCAGCGCGGGGTGCGAAGAGGATGATATTTAATAAGGTATACACGAAAACTTTAAAAAAAGTCCCTTTGGGAGTAATATAAACTCTGAAAGCTTTAAGAATGAATTGTTTTTGCTTTGTTTTGTGTGTATGTGTGTGCGTTTTGTGTTGAAATATTAAATAGCATAATGCTGAACCGATAAATTTTGCAAACGTGTAAAATCCCCCCCCCCTCCATCCAATTTTTAAGCGGAATTATTTGCATTTTCAGTCATTCCACAAAGCTTTTCGAAGCCTCTAGTGACTTGTCACAGAGTATTATATTTTCGCGGAACATCTGTTAAAAATTACTGCAGGATTAACTTGGGACATTTCTTCCTTTACATCACCTCATTCTAGGAAATCCACATTAGCGCTTATTAACAACCAACAGACTGTCACATGACATAATTGAATGACAACAGTAATGAAAATTGTAATTCCGGTAAGTCTATTGTTATGAGCTCTCTTCTGCAAGCTGGTTTCTTTGAATGTTGGTTGGTCGGGACAACGTACATGTATTCATCTTGCCATTGTTTGATCGGATCCCCACTAGTGGAGAATGCGTCACACCTGGAACTTTGAGGTAGCCTAAACAAGTTTCGGACCCTGCTGCACTCACAATAATAAGGTCTTGTACTTCCTTCACCGTCAATCAAACAGGGCCGTGACGCCATTAACGCATAATCACTAACGTAAGGGTATTTTACTTTTGCTGCAATTCTCTGAGACATCATCAAAGAGATTCCAAAACAGATTTAATTCAACGGAAGGTGACTATATGAGATAGAAAATGAGATAAGAAAGAGCCAACGACATTGGTATGAGTCCATAAAAACTAATATGTTAATATTTTCAAGTTGCTTCCTAACAGCGAAACCACACTATTTAAAATAAAATAAATATTTCACTATTCTTATTCTCTCATTCAAATATCATATCCCCCCTCCAATATTCCCTTACGGTCTGGTTAGGAATTCGCAAGGAAAACCCATCAGTTATTAATCCATCAAATGAAAGTTGCCTAGGCTACAGCACAGAATGTGACCGATATTGTATCCGCAAAAAAGCGGTAGACAACATAAATATTAAAGCATTCTCCGGGATTCAAACCCGTGTCCAAAGATATGGAAGCATGAATCATAATATTCTGAATTCCGGCAAAATATTTCAAAAAGAGTTACTTTATTTAAAATCATGAGTAGGTAGAATTATATGAGGATGACATTTTTTTAGCTCAAAGGGGGGGGATTTGCACAGAAAGCTATTAATTTCGTTTCGGCATTTTCCTTTGGTTCGCTATATATTTCACTTTTCAAGTTGTTGCCACGAAATATTGGACCCCGGCATTATATTTAAAGAAATTAAATAATGGTGAATCTGCATGAATGTATATATATTTCTCGTCCGCGCAGTATCTAAGCTGTTAAAAGTTCCACTGTTTTCATCTATGCATTTTTAAATCATTACATATATATCCTAAGTCTAGCTTTCGAAGCATGGAAAACGCAATTTGAATTTCCTCAATCGGCCCAGTGGAACGGGAGATATGGAACTGAGCTTTTTTTTTTTTTTCTTTTTCTTTTTTTTTTTTTTTTTCTTTTAGTCCAAAGAGGCTTTGTCCCTGAAGGATCATTGTTTTTATTTTGCGATTTTGCATTGGTTCACTATAAATGTCCGTTTCACTTTTCAAACTGTTGCCACGACTCTAACATTTAGTGAAAGAATGAAGAAATTAAATAAGGAAAAATCTGCATTAATGTATGTCTATTTTTCGCATTGTGAAAAAACAACGGGACATGAGCCCATCGAATTTTGAATGATGTCATCCTCCTACTAATATGGGCATTTGGAAACTCAAATTTGAAATTTGGAATTTGTTTTATTATTATTTCATATTTATTATTGATTTCATATTTTGCAAAACTTTAACGAATGTTTGATTAACAAACTCAAGGATTTCAAAGCGAGCAATGGCAACACTGTACGGGAAAGAAAAAAATACATTTTTACCTCCAGCGCGCGAGACTGCGTATCGAAAATTACAAAGATACGCTCTTTTTAAATTATTTTATGATAATGCTCTTAAACTGAATTTTATGGTTTGAGTGCGAAGAATATGATATTTAATGAACAAAGGTAACACACAAAACGTTAAAAAAACGCCCCTTTGTGGGTAATATAAAATCTGAAAGCTTTCAGAATTTTCCCCCTGGTTTCGTAGACGTACAAATCACCTAATACGAAAATAATCTTTAATTTCTAACTTCAGTTCAGGGCCCACCAGCGGCCGAGCGGTAAAATCACTGAACACTGGTAGTTCGGTCCGAGGTTCGAATCTCGCGAACGGGCTGGCTGCATGGGCGTTTTCGTGGTTTTCCCCATGTGTAACGTGTATACGAGACAGTTTCCCTTAGAAAGTCCTCCACGAAGGCATCCCTCCTCTTAGGCAGATAGCCCTCGAGGCTTTGCCATAGTCACACACACACACTAACTTCAGTTCAAAAATACATACCTCCCCCACACGCACCGCCCAACAGAAAAGGCAGAAATTTGAATAAAAGTAAAAGAATTGAAGAAAATTTTCGTGACGTCATTAAAACGTGATCGTCTATTTGCTACTCATGATCAGCGTTTCATTGGAGAAACAGTTTATTGCTGAAATACCAAAACTGTATATAATAGTTGCGGTGGGAAATGAAAAACTTAACAGTTGGTTTTGCTAATCGTGGTTTTGCTATCTCTTAGTTCGTCAAGCTTTTAATTTTGGTAATCCTCAGCTATGACTTCGAAAGTGCGTTCTGGTAAAAATATTACTAAAGCAGCAGCGGTCCTAGTTGATAAAAAAAAGAAGAAGTCCAAGAAGAGGATTGAATCTTTTGGAATTTATGTTTACAAAGTCCTTAAGCAAGTGCATCCTGATACGGGTATTTCCAGTAGATCTATGAGTATTATGAATAGTTTAATGTTTGATGTTTTTGAACGACTTGCTAAGGAAGCATCTTTCCTGGTTAAAAGCAACAAACGGAATACTCTTTCAAGTCGAGAAATCCAAACTGCAGTCCGATTAGTCTTTCCGGGTGAGCTTGGCCGACATGCTATTTCAGAAGGGGCCAAGGCTTTGACTAAATACATGTCCGACAAGAAATGAAGCCATTATTGAACGGATTTAACTCTGCATTTCTCTAGCTATCATTTGCAAGCAGATTCATGCTTATATTGTCTATGCCACCGGAACTACTTCCTTCATTAAACTAGTGATTTCTGCATTTCGTGAAAAGCATTTTTCAATTGCTTTCAAGCTGCGTCATCCAATATCAAAGCAGTCTTTTGGTGAGTCTGATATACAATTAAACTCTTTCAAAGAATTCATTTTAATTCCTGCTTTTAACAAAACTGAGTGGAATGAGACTGCGGATAGAAACACGTCCAGTTTTTAAAGTAACTGGAATTCTCATTCTTGGTGTGTATTGAACAAAACTTCCAACGAAACTCTTTGCACTTCTTAAATGAATGCTATCTTCTGCTGCTTACTGAAATGATAACGTTGTGACAATATTGTGTGGATGGAAACTTAATTCATTATGCATTACTTTAGTAATGCATAAGTGTGGTGCAATTCCATAATAGAAATAATTCATTAACTATTTCTTTAGTTTCCATCATGGTAAAACCTCTTTACGTTTAGTTGTAAATAGAGTGAAGATTGTATGTTTTATATCTATTGGAAACTTAAACTTCCTTTGCTTTTATATATTACTCGTGTTTAGTATTTTACCATGTGTGTTTACTTGAACTAAGTATGTAAATTTAAGTAGAAAGTGATTTGAACTATTAAAATTGTCCATTTTAAGAACGAGTAGTACTTTAAGAATTTTTTCGAATTGTACTTTTAAGAACGCTTCAGAACTCTTGTGTTTGCGTTAATTTTAAAAACGTAATAATTTTAATTTAAGGTTTTAAAATGTACGTTAAATACTTTAAAAAAATTGTATTCCTGTGTTTGTATATGCGCATCCATAAAACTTCTATTTGAAAACCAAGTTCGGTTTTGTAAATTATCGAACTTAACACATGGTAGGTAATTTGAATTAAAAACTTCAGCTATATTTCTTAGAGATGTATTGAACTAAAGTCCACAAGTAGAAGTTGTAATTCTTGTACTCGAATTCGATTCTTGTAAACTATCAGCATTTTATCTGAGATTTTCAGTTGTGACAATTACTATAACCGACTAGTACGAGTTGCCATTCTATGCATCAGTAGTTTTGTAATAATTTCATGATTCTGTAATTTAACAAGTAAATAGTAAAACTTAATTTTAAATGGAAAATATCAGAATACTCTTGTAGTAAAGGTAATGAAATGTACAAGATACTATTACCGATAAATGTGGCTCATAAAATGATAGTCAGGTCCATAGATTTTATATGAAAGAGTTAGGCAAGTTAAATTTTTAATGATAAGCTCACTTCACCCGGAATAGGCACAACTGAGTTAAAAACGTCGAGAAGATTTTTCTTTGATTCCATGGATAGTAGAATTACCATTAAGTTATGGAAAATTCATACAATTTGATAGGCGTCAGTGTTATTCAAATAGCTAATGTCTTGTGTTAGAATAGGCAAATAAGTGTGCCATGCACGCGATAATATTTTTACCTGAACTGTGTAGAGTGAAGTTTCTGATTTTAATTTCACAAGTTGATTTTGTTTTGGCAAAAACTGTGCATTGTTGCGCAAACATTTGAGTTTTATTTCAGTTGATGTACCTTTGTTTAATTTACATTCAATATTTTAGTTTAATGTTTGTTTTAATCTTATCTCAAAATCAACAAACTGCATATACAACTTCAATGTTGGATTTATTCTTGACTTTATTATTCCCACATTCTCATCGCGTTCACTTAAGATTCATTAGAGAACCGGGTGCGGCTGAGCTTCCAGAATGCAAAGTTTGAAAATTCATGAGAATTTTCACCAATGGCCAGAGCTCGAATTTATCCCATATTGGACTCCGGCGTTTAAATGAGTTTGCTGCGTGAAGTTCTCCGAAACGTTGCGAAAGTTATATCATATTTCCCCACAAAATATCCTTTTTAATTAATTCCTGAAACTTGGATGTAATAAATTTAGTTCACTAAGAGAGAGTCCATTAATTGTAACATTATAAATACGGAAGAAATTCAATTTAAAAAACTGAATTATGTGGGAAAAGTTCATAGTTTCCACCAGTGGTCGAGCGGTAAAGTCGCTGAACACTGGTAGTTCGGTCCGAAGTTCGAATCCCGTGAACAGGATAGCTGCATGAGCGTTTCTTCAAGTGTAACATGTATAGGAGCCAGTTTCCCTTAAGTCCTTCCTTCCCTTAGGCATATAGTGTACGAGCCAATTTCCCTTTAGAAAGTCCTCTACGATGGCATCCCATCCCTTAGGCTGATAGCCCTCGAGGATTTGCCGTAATCGTATAAAACAAACCGAGAAAGGTTCATAATATGTGCTTGTAAGCGTTTCAGTTTAAAACTTTAAATTTTCAAAATTAATTTTATAAAAACAAATTTCACAAAACTGGCCTCTAATCATGAGCAGTTGCTCGAATTTAATTAAAATGTCAAAACATTTTCCTTGTCTTATTCCACCCGTTTTGAATGCTAAATTAGCGTTAATAAATTCAGACTAGTAGAATTTAGAAAGTGAAAATCGTGTCTTCCCACCAAAAGAAAGTAGTTATTGTCCGAGTTTATTAAATTATTTTCTTCAATGCTTAGCGGGGCCCACCAGCGGCCGAGCAGTAAAGACTCTGAACACTGGTAGTTCGGTCCGAGGTGCGAATCCCGTGAACGGGCTGGCTGCATGGGCGTTTTCGTGGTTTTCCCTATGTGTAACATATATACGAGCCAGTTTCCCTTAGAAAGTCCTGCATGAAGGCAACCCTACCTTTAGGCAGATAGCCCTCGTGTGCTTTGCCATAAATCAATAATCCAATCAATGCTTAGCGAGCCCGCTGGATACTTCAGATTCTAGCAAGTAAGCTGCCTGTTACTATTCGTATGGCAGTAGCATGAATGCTAGTTAACTTCCTTTTGGAAATTCCTCTACAAAGGCATCCTTTACCTTAGCAGTTGAGTCCTTTGCTATGTTCGAAGAGCAAGATATATCATTGTTTAGGTAAATTCTAGCTCTTAAACTGACAATAAAATTACCACTCGTTCGCTATCACGCTTTTAGATGGAGAAAGAGTTTTAACTCATGTACGTATTTTTAAAAATAGTGTCCACTTTCTTGTTTATTTTGAAAAAAAAAAAAAAAAAACTGATTACATAATCAAAAAGATAACAGTCGAGTTGATAAAACAATTTAATGCTTTACTTTGATTTGGCGAAAAAGGGACGTGTACTTTCATATTAAATTCGACTTTCACAAATAAAGTTTCATCGCCAATTTCTCGGTGAGTTTTTGTATGTTGCATTTATTTTCCTCAAAATAGTTATAAATACCTCTAACACTTGTATGCAGATTAACGTAGTACATGCTGCAATAAATTTTGCTTAATTTTATAGATTGGAACTGCAAACTAAGTTCATTTCTCTGAAGTGAAAAAAAAATTGAAATGAGGGTTTAAAATCTCAATAATAGAAGTTAGTCACTAAAATACCCTATTTTTTATTAAACTGTTTGGAATTTCAACACAAAGATGTGAAGTTTAAGCAAATAGAAATACAAATACAGTCTGAGATCACGCTGAATTTCGAAGCAAAACTTGTCAACGAGTTCTTCAAGAATGTAATACAGTAAAATGAGTTTTTGCATTTAATTTTGTAGATACTTATGTTATTTCGTATAATCCATACAACAGTTTTATATCGCTCTATTATGTTGTGGCAAATTTCATGTTGCTTCACTTTTACCCTCGCGTTACGTAACATCTTTGTATTGAATATAAGCAAATTTGGATGTTCGCAACTAGTCTCTAACGCAAAAAAACTTTTAAAATTAAGTGTTTAAGGGCAAACGTGATAGCAATATAATAACTAGACTGTATAGTTGCGTCAAAATACATCGTTAGTTCGTATAAAGATCTGATCAAGCAAACAGTGCCCTGACTTATTTTAAAGTTTTAGAACTTATGTAGTAGCTAAGAAAATCACTTTCACGTATGGTTTTATTTAACATTCTAAACATTCCATTACAACATTTTAAAGTATTTTCAGGAATTCTGCATAAAAAAATGCCTTCTTACAAAGTACGGACGAGTAAATACCAATTAGCGATAGAAAAGTTTGCAATCTACGGAAATGTTTTTAATAACATTTTGTCAAAATTCTACGTAATTCTCATTATTCAGGCACATACCGATGTATGCCGACCTTCACAAAATCCCACAGTCATCAAACGCTAGTTGATGACGCGTAAGTTTCCTAGCTCCGTGATAAAAAATAAATTCGTAATAATCAATATTTAATTGAAAACCTTGTTTACCTGTGTTCAACATTTTGTGTTGGCATCTGTTGTAGGTTTGATATGTCATTTGCAAGGATATTTTCAATAAGTTTATTCTGCCAGAAATTTACGAAATACAAAATCATTCTCAGGATGTTTCAACCTTACGATCAGAAGTTTTAGTAATCTGAGAATTTTTATATACAAGCGATTCGATTTATTATAACGATTATATTTTACTCCTCGCAAAACTAAATTTGCTAAATTTTTTATCTTTAACATTGGACATTTTAAACAGAATCATATGCTCCATCCCTTGATCTACACGTTTGAAAGCATTTTCTTGCCCACAATTCTGTTCACGTTTACAGCGATATTCATATATGAACAATCTTAAATCCTTGTAAGGACTTAAGATTCTCGAATAAAATAGTTCCCATTTGTTACCAAAATAATTAAATATCTGATCAATAAAGTAAACGGTTTGTATAGCGTACAAGAGGTCAATGTAGAAGAAAATAATTTCTGGCCAAATTTTATCAAGAATAGAATGGTTGCGTTTACCAGCTGAGAGGTCGGTCGATACAAGTTCCTCTACCGGCGATCGGGCTGGCTGCTTGGCAGTGTTTGTAGTTTTCCCTCATTTATAATGAGAGTACGAGCCATTTTCCATTGAAAGGTCTTCACAAAAGGCATACCCTAAATAACTGAT